GTTGTAGTCATCTTTAGAAAATATACTGCCACTTGGTTGTAAAGAAGCCTTGATGTCCCCAGGGGATTGGAAGTTTGGATGAACTTTCAGAGACGTCCTAAACACAGGCAAGGGGATGTGTTTTGTAAATTCATCAGTGACACTGACTGCATATTGAACTGGGGAAATGGCATCCATTACAGTAAGGCAACCTTTGGCCAAAGGCCATTCCTAAGGAGGGATTCAGCTATGTACTATCACTGGTCTGAATTCCTGGTAGCTAAGGAGAATGAGTATGTTGGTTTCTGGGAAATGTACAAGAGTAGGTTTAGGAGGATGGAGTAACTTTGAAGCCAACATTGCTGCTCATTTGTCTTCATTCTCTACTACTCATTCTAGTTTGATTACAGCACTTTGGTTGATTTGAAGATTTATTTGGTGGACTGACCTCAACTTCTATTCTTAAGCACATGAGCTATGCCTTTCTCAGACTGTGACAGCTCCATTTGTCCACTTTGTAGAACAAGATAGTACCAAGAGCTGCCCTGGAAACTCGCTTGGATTACAAACATAATCTTTCTTGCTTCTGTTGTATAATTTCAGCCCTAATTTCCCCTGATAACCAGTATTAAGTATTAATTACTCTACTGCTTTATCTCTTGCCACTAGATACTTGAAGGGCCTTAATGTACAGTTGGGTGAAGTTCATTCATTGCTCTCGTGGAAGCTTACTTCTCTGGGATTGAGTACCTTTAAGACTTACTCAGGTTCCAGTTTTAGGTACGAGAAGCACAAATTCTATGAGAGGCACACTGTACATGTTGATGAGACCACTCCTGCTCCCAGCCCTAGATCCCCAGAACATTTTCCCTACTTATTTTGTGACATAGAGCTTTATATTGTCACACTTTAGCATCTACTGCATTTTAGCGATTTGTGCTTCATCTTTTCAGGGTTTCATCTCTAAATGGGTCCTCAACTGTACCTTTAAAAGATAATGTCATTGCAACATCAGGCTGGCAGCTTCTAGATGTTAAGCCCTGGATAGAACCATTAGAACTCATGGTAATGTGTCCATTACTGAACTTCTTTTGCTATAAAGTCCTTTCATCCAAAGCAATGGTTTGCAGGATCCTGTTAGTAGACCAAGTACTCTGTATGCACTTAGATCATGGACCAGACTGAGGCTCTGTGGACAAGTCATTTCCACATACAGAATACTCAGTTCTAGTACAGATGAATCAATACTGCTTTCAGCATGGAAGGAGTCAAATACAATCTGTTTGCCACTGAATAGCTAATTAGTTTTCTCAAGTATACCAACTAAGGAGCTCAGAGTTGGTCTCTGTTCCTGGAAAATTGCATATTCACCAATGTCAGTGCTTCTATCAGACTTGTATTGTGAGAATCCTTTCTATTGGTCTTGTGTGTTGCCTCCATGGTCCCCTAGGATCATTCTGTCCACATGCCGATACGTCAACTCTGAAGCAGCCAAAGACAAGAGCCTGATAAGTACACTGACTCAATCATTGTCATTATTTAGCTATTTAACTCTTTTTGCATGATAGATACTCTCTGGTGGGCATTAAGTGTTGTACAGAGATCCTTACACTCATGTCCATTCCTATACATCCATCCACCCCTCATTCTCAGGCCTCATCCATTTCCACTTTATATCTTGACACACTTGTCATTGCCCTTGAGTTTGTACACATTTTCACCTTGGGTCAATCCTCTTCTGACCAGTTGCATGAGCAGTACATGACCAGTCACAGCCCTGGAAGCTCTCCTTTATGGGAAGACTGACATCTCTGCTTTAGGTCACCACTCAGTGGTGCAATCAACAGCAGTGATTCAGTCTTGCTTCATACTCTCATATCGAGCTCAGATTTTTTTTTTTCTGCCTCTTGTCAGCTGATACTGAGGAAGTTTATTGGTGCAGTAGATAGGAGCTGAAGGAATGATGTAGACAGAGCATGGCTTAGACTCTAGTCGATCTTCTCACCCAGCTGTGTGAAGTCTCTGAACACCCCTGTGCCTCATCCAGCAAATACCACTTAGATCTTCTGACAGACTGCTTCAGGATCTACCTCACTGTATGACTTGCTAATTTCCACAGAACCCAGATTACCAAGGATGGCTCTGGCCATGTGCGGACTTGATGTGCCCTGATCAGTAGCCCTGTCTTTTCCACAGCCCAATAACCCTATCTTTCCCGGGCCCTGTTGCTGTAACACCAAGTCTCTACTGCAATTCTCATACTGAGGCTTACCATAACCTTCACATCTTTTCCCATCATAGTTATCTCTAAATACATTCTGTTTTCCCTCCCATATAAATAAGAACTATTTCTGTTTCTTTATTTGTGATAAGGATACAAATTAACACATTTTCTAGATCAATGTTGTACAACATGTGACGGAACAAGGACATAAGCCTCAGCCATTTTAGCTCCCTTCCTGGAAGTACACAAAATTATCTTTTATCCCTTACTCCTGCCTTCTTTCAAGAGACCAGCTCAACTCCACACCCCTTATTGTGTCCCACCACATGCCCTGCATTCTTTTCCTGCTTTGAAAGCCTGCAAGAAACCTGAGAAACCTGTATATGGAGAAGTTCAGCTATGACTACTGCGTCCCCGCACCCTCACTTCCAGACCCTTAGATACACAAGGCCTGGTGCACTGGAGGACTGTGCCATCTGCCTGTTTGGTCTACGCACACTGGCAGTTGGCTGCCTCTGCAAATTTATTTTTCTTGCCTAATTTAATTTCGCCTATGAGTTTGTATCCTATCTGCTCTCTGTTCTGCTTCCCTTTTCCTTACATTTGGTGCCCTGTGTGAGGAGGCCTGGGAGATCAATCTCTTGCCCACTGTGGTCCATCACAAACTGGCTGCTACTTCATTCCCTGGGTAAGAGCTATGCCATCCCACCTGCTCTTCCTCTAAACTTTCTTCTCTCTGTGGGAAGCTGCCTTGGCCACTTATTTCCTTATTCCTGCTTGCACTTTCTCATCTCCTGAAGAATTTACAGCCAGAGCCTTTTGGCAAATCTCATCACTACACGCCTCAGCAGACTCATTCTAGCCTATCGGATGTGTAAGAGAGGCCTCTGTGGCCTCAGGGGCGCTGGAGCTGACACTCATGGCCTGTTCATGCCCCCTTAATAGGGCCTGGGGTGTTGATCCATTTTCCCCCTTCCTTTATCTCTGGGAGGTTTAGGAAACACTCATCATCTGCCACAGCTTAATACTGGGATACTGGTCTAATCTTGGAGATTCTGGCTCTCTCCTCTAAGAGGACTCAGAACTTGGGTTCTTAGTTGGGGTAACTCTTTCCCAGGTGAAAGATCTCCTACCCTCAGGCTGTATTTTGCTTAATCCATGGGTTCCAAAATTTCTCACATCTCACCTAGTTCCCCTCTGGCCTGTCTCTTCCAAAACTTGAGCAAATTGGGTGTAAAGGGAGACAAAGCCGAAGTGATTTTCTTTGGCACTAAAGTTTGGCCTCAATATGAATTGGACAATGACTCTAAATGGCCAGAATTCGGCATTTCTTTTTGTCTCAGAATTTTCTCTATGATCTTAATAACTTTACAAAGAATTGGCAATAGAATGTGTGCTCTGGAAAGCCTGCACCTGGGACATTCCAAACTGCTAAGACAACGCGCTGTGAACTTCACCCAGGAGTCTTTCTCACATCTTCTGCCCAACTTCTCAGGGTCCATGTCCTGCTCCGCACCCAACAGCTTGAGGAAGGACTCTGCCTGCTGCTCAGATCCAATGAAGGCCCCGCCCTCTGTATGGGCAGGTGCAGCCCAACTCTCTCTTTAACCCCTCCCTCATTCCATCTTCTCTGAAAAAAAGTCTCTAACTAGCTGCCTCTTCTTGGAACTCCACATCGCACACTGCTACTCTGTCTCACATCTAAATTCTCTCTCACACGAAGACAAAACCTTTGTTCCAGCCATCTCCAGTAATATGCAGGAACAACACAAGACTGCTCTTCTCCAATCAATGCAACCCAGAGTGTAGATACTCATGCCATGTCAACGCCTTATATCATTATGAAGTATCCAGAAAGAAACCAGCACCCCATTTCCTTATCTATATTCAGAGTCAGGATGGATGGAACAAGGACATAAACCTTAGCCATTTTAACTCATTGCCTGAGAGTAGATAAAATTCTCATTACTCCTTACCCCTGCTTTCTTTCAAGAGACCAGCTCAACCCCATGCCCTCTATTGTGCCTCACCCTATGTCCTACATTTTCCCCTGGTTTGATAGCCTGCAAGAAACCTGAAAAACCTGCACGGAGAAAGTCACCTCTGCCTATTGCCCCCCACCCTCCCCTCTGGACCCTTCACCCACCATAAGCTACATAAGGCCTGGCTCACTAGAGGGTGGTGCCTTCTGCCACATAGTCCGTATGCATGCTGGCATTTGGCCACCTCTACAAATTTACTTATTTTTCTTGAATAATTTCATTTTGGCTGTGAGTTTGTATCCTGTTTCCTCTCTGTTCTGCTCCCCTTTTCATTACAAAATGTATCTGAGATTTTGTTAATTTCCCCTAGAAAAGAAATCACACTTTGAACAGTGACTGCAAAGGTGGTTATTCACTGTCATCTTCAAGGTTTTCTATGTATACTGCAGCACACTGCTTATGCAGGGGTGTAGGAAAGGAACGCTGATTCTTTGGGTATTTTAAGGTAACATTAATTTTTGCTGATCTCTGTGGCAGTTTTTACCACACAAACCAAGGAATTGTGGGGTTCTACCATCTAGGAACTATATCCATTCTGACTACTAGGGACTACACAGCATGGATATGAATGTGTGGACCCAGTGAGTTCTTTGTGAACTGGGCCTGAACTAGGAGATTTATTTATTGCCCACATATGGTCCCAGGCTGACAAGAAGCTTATAATGACTATTATGATTTCTTCATATCAGTTCAACTCAGATGCCGTGTACCAGTCCTCAGAACGCTTGATTATACCCCTTCCCCCTGTGCATTACCTTAGTGGATCACCACGTGGTTCTTTGTGCAGGGTTCATGGAAAACCACAGGTATTTGTCAAGACGCCACCCACTTTTCCTCTCAAGGACATGTTCCTTCCTTCAGTCAACAAAGTCCAATCTGAAAAAAGGATTTAGATTTGGAAATTGAACACGATGCTATAATATTTTATCACAGCTGGCCATTTTCAACCTTTCCTTGATTTCTTTAGATTGTGCATACAGAAGAGTATCTCTGTGAGTATCAATCTATCTTGCACCATATTCTATTAACAATCTCCATAAGTTTCTGCAGTGTAGACCCCATCACTGCCATGGTTTGATGAGAACTCATCTTGAAGTATAATCTCCATTATGAGATACTGAGGCATGAAACGGACATTGAAGAGGTGATCTAGGCTCTCCTCTCAAAAATGGTTTAATCCATTAACTGGTTAATGAATTATCTTGGGGATGGGACTGCTATAAAAGGCACGTTGGCCAGATCAGTTCACCCTGTGCTGCCTTAGAACTCTGCTGACAAGAGGTTGTCTCCAGAACCGAGCCTTTGACTTTGGACCAGAAATGTGAGCCAAAATAAATCTATTTTCTTTATAACTTACCCTATCTGTGGTAATGTGTTATTGGCAATGGAAATACAGACTGAGATACTAACCCTGATGCTCATTACAAAAACTGTACCTACTTTTATTCTGATATTTTAGTGCTACCCATCTCTAGGAAAATTTTTAACAATGATAGGGAGAATTATAATAGAGTTTATGCTTCTGGTAAATGGATGGAGAACTTTTTTCTGGAATCCAATCCATAAATTAATCTTATAGCAAAAAGTAAATGGGAAAAGATCACCACCAACAAAAATAAAGTAGCAATAATCATAAGGGTCAATAATAACAGGACAGTAGACAAAAGGTGCTCAAACATTAAACTGGAGTAAGTCACAAGACCATTGAAAGTCCAGACAATTGCTATCCCTGCTAATGATTACAAAGGTGGCAAGCTCTTTTAGAAATAGTTTTACTTCAATGAAAAATAATAGATGATTTTTAAATGATGATGAAATCAGATCAGACCTATTGTCATGTTTAATCCCAGTGAGAGTCAAGTTGGCAAGTTGGGAGTTGATAATTTCTTTTTTTTTTTTTTTTTTTTTTTTACAGAGGATCAGTTTAGCATACATTAAGTAAAGATTTCAACAGTTTGCACCCCCATAAAAACACAAAGTGAAATATATTGTTTGAGTACTCGTTATAGCATTAAATCTCAATACACAGCACATTAAGGACAGAGATCCTACATGAGGAGTAAGTGCACAGTGACTCCTGTTGTTGACTTTACCAATTGACACTCCTGTCTATGGCATCAGTAGTCTCCCTATGCTCCGGTCATGAGTTTCCAAGGCTATGGAAGCCCTCTGAGTTCTCCGATTCTTATCTTGTTTAGACAAGGTCATAGTCAAAGTGGAGGTTCTCTCCTCCCTTCAGAGAAAGGTACCTCCTTCTTTGAAGACCTGTTCTTTCCACTGGGATCTCACTCGCAGAGATCTTTTGCCAGAGTGTCTTGGCTTTCCATGCCTGAAATACTCTCATGGGCTTTTCAGCCAGATCCGAATGCCTTTAGGGCTGATTCTGAGGCCAGAATCATCTATTATTTTTCACTTTATGTTTCTGTGTGAGAGCAAACTGTTGAAATCCTTACTTAATGTATACTAAGCTGATCTTCTGTATATTAAGATAATCGAAAATGAATCTTGATGTGAATGGAAGGGGAGAGGGAGTGGGAAAGGGGAGGGTAGTGGGTGGGAGGGACGGTATGTGGGGGAAGCCATTGTAATCCATAAATCGTACTTTGGAAATTTATATTCATTAAATAAAAGTTAAAAAAAAAAAGAGGACCTATACATGTCAAAAGGGTTGACATTTAATATAAGTAATCATTTTGACTGATTCACTAATGCCATTCGTATGTGGAAGTGGTTTTGTGCTGCTTTGCTTTTGTTTGTTTCTCTACCAAAAGTGCCTTGAAGAGCAACACAATGACTTTTAATGAATTTGTTGCCACTGCTTTTATTTGTCACTGTTATTTTTATGCCATTAATATGCAAATATCAACGCAGTGATAAAGGCAAGTAATTTTGACATTATTGTGAAAGCAGTTTCCATTTTGTGAATGTACATTGAGAATCACAGGAATAGTAAAATCTCCATAAGCATTAAATGATAAAGGAAAAGTAAAAAAAAAAAAAAAAAAAGAAATAGTTTTACTTCAAATTGGTTGACTAAAATGGTATGATTTTATTGAGAGTTACATAGAAAAATAATTTAATGTCTTATCAGTTTTTAGAGTCAAATGTGTTACAGAAGAATGAAACCTTCCTGTTATAAGAACCCATGATCAAAAAATATCTGAGGCTGATGATAAAGAGGAAACAAAAACTTATTATTATTCCTGTGACAATAGGTGTGGGTCTCTGAGGGAGATGGCTAACCACTCTACAATAAACACAATCCAGTTGGGACCAGAGAAGAAATTTGTTTAATTTTACAGGCTAAGTTATTATCTATTGCATATTAACTTTCACTCCTTTTACATAATGTTTATAATTAACTATGTGTGTATTCTGTAGGTTGTAGGCATTCTCAATTGATTTATTTGTATGTGTGTTCCAGCTAGTGTTCAGTTATTCTCAATTTATTGGTTGCTGTTTTTAAATGCATTAAGCTAAAGTACTCTTAAATAGTAGTAAAAAACCAAAACTGAAAAATATTCCATATGACTTGAGCATTCAAAATTGTGGTGCCCAAGCAGGGCCCTTCTGGTATAATGGAAATATTTTATATCTTGACAAGGAAATGGACCACACAGGAGTATTCTGTTGTCCAAACTTACTGAACAGCATACTTAACTATTTGTATATTTCATTGTAAATTAATTTTATTAGCAAAACTGTAAAAAAAATACTGATTTCTTGTTAGTAGGTTTACTTTTCAAAGTGACATAGGTTTACAGTTAATGTAAATGTATGTATGTAATGTAAATGTAAATATATGGTTAGTGGTGATTTAAGCATGTGATTATAGAGTAGATTAAAATTATGTCGGCAAAAACTGAAGAAAGAAAAGGAAGGAGGCCAGTGCCATGGCTCACTTGGCTAATCCTCCAACTGCGGTGCCAGTACCCTGGGTTCTAGTCCCATTTGGGGCGCTGGATTCTGTCCTGGTTGCTCCTCTTCCAGTCCAGCTCTCTGCTGTGGCCCGGGAAGGCAGTGGAGGATGGCCCAAGTGCTTGGGTCCTGCACCCACATGGGAGATCAGGAGGAGGCGCCTGGCTCCTGGCTTCAGATCGGTGCAGTGAGCCGGCCATAGTGGCCATTTTGGGGGGGTGAACCAATGGAAGGAAGACCTTTCTCTCTGTCTCTCTCTCACTGTCTAACTCTGCCTGTAAAAAAAAAAAAGAGAGGGGAGGGGAGGGAAGGAAGGAAATGATGAGGAAAGCAGAGAAGGGATTGAGGGAAAA